TGTTTTAAAATGTCTTTTTCAGTATTAGCTATTTATAGTTTTAGTAAGTAGGCTAGCATTAAACTTGCTGTATGCTTCATATCCAAGAGATATTGATTCTTTTGTAATGTATACCTTGTAATATATGAATAAATAAAGAACTGGTGTTTATCTACTTTAAAAAAAAAATAATAATAATAATAATTTGATTAGTTATAAATAAATAGATAGCAATAAAAAAAAAACTTTTTCCCACTTCCCTTTCTATGCTTAAAAATTTCCTTTTTAGGAAATTTTTGAGTTGTTTACTTTTTCTTTTTGTCTTCCCCTTTTTTTTCTTTCTATGTCCCTTTCCTATACCTCTTTATTTCCCCTCCCCTATCCTCTCCTCTCTCTTTTATATACTTTTTTTTTATTTTTATTCTTCTTCTTCTTTTTCCTCTTTTCTTCCTGCCGAAACTAGGTTTTTTCCTTTTTCCTAAAGGTTTTTCTTCCTAAGCTTCTCTCTTTTTTGAAAACTCTGTCTTCATAACATCACTCCTCTGGCTAGTTGACTTCCTTTTCTCAAGAATCATATTAAGAAGTGATAACCTTTCTCAGGACATGGGCTTTAGGAATTTTTTTCTCTTCTATGGCTCTCCAGAAAAAGAATGAATGACTTATCCCTTCCAAAAAATCGACATGGCCATCATTACCAAACCTGGATTGTTTACCGATCAGCAGTTAGACTAGATACACCCAAGAAACCTCTGTACAACTATTATTGTCTGAAAGTATCCAAGGAGTTGTGCCCTACAGTATCTAGAATAAAATAGCAATTAATGTCAATGCAATTAGCAATAAGTTAGGTTAGTTGCAAGTGTCATACTGGTGATTAGAGAACTTAGTAGAGTAATACGTAACGACCAGGGATTCTAGTTACTCCCACAATATGAGCTGATAATGACAACAAAAGTCTCTCACTTATCCTTTCAACAATATAGGTCTATTATACAAGGTTAGGTTCTGGCATTACTAAAAAAACCAATATGAACTCCACTCATAGAACACTTCCATAACACTTGAAACATGGGTATGCCAAATCCTTTTTGTGACTTGGAGGCAAACCTGTATAAAGTGGCTGTAGTACCTTCATGCAAAAAGGCATATACTTTCCATCACCTTCAATACTACTTCGCTTGCCCTACATCAAGTCATATTTGGAAAGCAGGCATGCCAATCCTAATCATGACTTGGAGACCAACCAGTATAGACTGGCTGCAGTACTTTCATGGAATTAGGTACTTATTTATTTCTAGATAGCTAGATGCCATTTATAATTAGATATAGATTTTTGAATTTCTTTTTGTTTATATTTCTTGAATAGTGCTAAAAGAGTATATATGTCAGGCACTATATGGTAGCCTTGTATTAAACTCTTCCTAGCAAAGAAAAACGTATATTGTGTTATTGATTATTGTATCTTACTTTGTAAGTAAAGTATAATAAATATAATAAAGTGTGATAGCCATTTGCTCTTTTCAAAAAAATAAATAAATAGATAACAATATTAAATATAAGAATTTTAAAGTTCAACTAGTATTTTATAAAGAAATTTGTATATTATTAATTATTCAGCAAATATATTATTTATGGAGAAAACAAATTAATTCTATTAAAATAATTCAGTATGCAGTAATTGAATAGCTTTATCAATCAGATAAATTATTTATGAAACAAGTTAAAAATTAATATTATTACTATAATAAGTAAAAAAACTTTTAAAATCTAATAAATTTATTAATATGTCCAGAAATTTGAATTAAAAAAAATATTAAACATATGTTAAGATAGGACATAATAATTAATATGAAATTATAGGTCTTGAGAAAATAAAGATATGTTGAATTTGTATATATAGCAGATCTTTTTATTTTTTAAAAAATTATTGAATAACAGTATATTATAAAAATATAAGTAAAGATTTTATACTTTATACATATATTTTTTATTTAATAATCTTAATAAACCAATATTATCTGTCAATAAATTAATATAGTTATTGTTCTCTCAGATTTAGTTTGAACCATTCTTAAATTGTTTTGTATTATTTCTATTTTATTTATTTTGAAATAAAATTTAATTTATCAAATATTGTTATCTCTAACAATTGTATAGTATAATGGAGCTAGTATCTTTGATACATAAAATTTACTTACAAGTTTAAGAAAAATCTATAGTTTTTAAATTAAATAATAGGTCATCGAGTTAAGTGATTTTAATAATACTATTTTTATTAATCTTAGAAATAATATTTTTGCTATTCTTGAAAACATTACTTTCATTAATCTTAAAAACATTATTTTATTGATTTTAGAGATAGAATTATTATTAGAATTACTCATTTTTTCTTTCTAAAATATAGAATAATGATAAATACAAATATGTTTTACAATCTTAATTAAATAGCAATACATTAAATAATGGTATACTTTGAATTAATAATAGAAAATATTATTGATACTCATACTTATAAGAAAAAAAAAATTAAGTATTTTATAACATCCAAGACTATTAGATCCATTTCAAAAACAGAATCCATTTTTATTATTTTTTTGGTTAACTACTTAATATGAAATGGGTTTTGCCTGTGTTCGCATCCGATAGAACACTTCTTAAATTCGACGATCTCTGCTATAATGATCTCAACGATCTGGGAAATGTCAAGTCATTGTAACATATAAACTCTGATAAAACTACTAATAAAGACTGATAAGCTCTTCCCTCTTATGGCACTTTTTAACTTATTGCTGATTTTTCTTATTAGGGGGACAGAAGGTGTTTGTCTCGAGTAAAAATAAGCGACGAAAATCGTATCACGTGAATTAAATCCGCATACATTTCTAATATTTTCAGAAATCATGTGACTTGAAATCTATCTAAGCTAGTAACACACATTTACTTACGTCCGAGATCAAAAAACAGCTTAATTGCCCAAGTTTGTGAGTCTTTCACTAGCAAACGTTAATGTGTATTTTTCCCATTAGAGAGATCCTGCACTATGGGGAAGCGTAACGGATTGGGATCATTTTATTAATGAAATGCCCGGCTCAACATGCTTTGAAGCACATAGAACACTGGCGAATGAACTCAAAATACTTCTTAATCACCTTGCTGAAAATAGTCGTGGATGGTGCAAGGCAAAAGCGATCAAGAAACAGCTAAAGGTCTGTTTTATACTTTGTTATATTGAAATTGCGTAAGCCGTACCCTGCGATCTCTGTCGATTGACGGGCATTCCTCTGCTTGCCTGAAGTGGGTAGCATGTTATGGTCTGGTCCTAAAGATCCCACTATGGCATGTGTGGTTGCGCAATCAACCTTTTCGCAAAGTCGTACCCTGCGATCTCTGTCGATTGACGGGCATTCCTCTGCTTGCCTGAAATGGTTAGCATGTTATTGTCTGGACTAAAGGTCCCACTATGACATGTGTGACTGCGCAATCAATATCGATATTTATCATCTACTATATTTAACATTTACTTACAGTCTTCCTTTCTTTTGTAGCTACAAACCCAATAATACTATTGCCTCAGCGATTTGGAAGGTGCATCAAGAAGCAATACTATGGGTTACAGTTGAAAATAAGATCAATGAAAATATTAAGAAGGTATTCTGCCCTACTTGATTCTGAATTAATTTACTGCCTATCTTTCCTCTTATAATTTGTAATTATTAGCGTAAAATCGAAGATGTAGCGAGGAATGCTACAAGTGCAACAGCAGAAGCTTGTTATGCACCTAGTGGTTACGAGATCCCGAATAGATTACAAAAACTTCGATCATAATGTCGATGACGGTAACGATGAGGAGAATATAGACCTTCTGGAGCAATCGACCAGCGATTACAAAAACTTGGATCATAATTTCAATGACGGTAGTGATGAGAAGAATACTGACCTTCTGGAGCAATCGATCAGCAAAACATTACCTATGCAGTCAACCAATGAAACATCATCTATCGAAGATTACCTGAAAATTTTCGAAAAAGCGTACTTGGAATTAGATCCCAATCATATGTGATTGCTGAAAAGTGGTCGCAAAGTAAAAGTTATTTATCAATTTGCTAGAAATCTTCCCGAGGAGTCATATTTACACTCATTTATGATCAACGACATCGATGAGGTCACCAAATCACTATTTTCAGATGAGGAGTGGAAGGAAATCACCACCTCAGGACTAAGGATAACCAAAACTTGAGAATTCTTTTGTAAACCTACTGAAAAAATACACAGTTGATAATTCTGAGAGACTAAGTGATGTTCTTTTTGAACCATTTATACCAGATGGATGCAAATATGATCGGAAGCATCATTTTGATCTTTACTTTATTAATGGTGCTTATCGAGGAATTTTACGTTTGTGGGAAATGGATGAAAACCCTATTGTTGACTCTTTATTAGAAGGCTGGTACGAAATGAACATGTGGAGTCGGGTAATTGACCCAGCTTTTGACAACCTCAATATTGATTTGGTGCGTGGAGAGAGTATGAGTTACGCATCAAGTGATAGAAAAAACCTTACCAGAGAAACAAATGATCGAAAGAAGCTTGGCCGAAAAGGCGATGGAGTATTCAGATTACGCAAGGATCGTTTAGAGTTTGGTGCAATAGAAACGGGTCGAAAATGGGAAGGGAAGAGTGGAACAAAATATATGACAGATTCGTTAAAAATATGTAAAATGTTAAAAGATATGTTAAACCAGCTTGCCATTGAATGTGATATGAAAGAAGATCTCGTGAGAAAATTACAAGTAGTCGGAATACTTAATGGAGCAAACAGAATTCAGGTCATGACAGTTGACCTCCCTAAGGGATATATTACTCGTATTCAACGCAGAAAGGTCTATGAAACGCTGGTCGTCTATCAAAATCCAAACCCCTTGCTTTTGTTCTAAAAGAAATACTATGTGCGAAATCTATCATCATGCAGACATTCGATATAATAAACAAGATGAAGTTGATCTCGAAAATTTTCTCGATGATTCTGATAATCAAGATGGATATCACACACCTCCTAGGACCGTTTCATCAAAGACATTTGTAACTCCACAGAAAGAGGCACTAAAATTGTAATTAATGAAAAAAAAAAAGAAGTAAATAGTGTTAGGTATATAAACTTTATCTACATATTTTTCATACCTGGCGAATATAAAACCCATGTAAACTTTGTACTTTTAAATATCAATAAAGCCAGTCTTTGTGGCTCGATTTTGCAAACATATTCACGTTTACTTTGTATGTATATTTCGAGATTTATTGCTATATAACACTGTCCTGACCACATTTACAAAATGGCTCAACATTATATAATTCAACAAAAAATATCTAACATAAATTATCGGTTAATATACAGTATATATATTATTTCATTATATTGGATCTTAGGAGAGTGATGTTATTTTAAGAAAAACAAAGAAAATTGGAAGTTTACTGCTTCTTTATTATAATAGAGTTAATGCTAAAAAAATTGTCAAAAAACATACAAATAAAAGAAAATCAAATTATAATATATTAATTAAAAAATATATTTATTGTAGGACAACTATGAAGAGGTTATTGATCTAAAATATTTGTGTATTCATATAACTTAAATAAGAATAATTATTATCTAAACAATATTATGCATATTCTTTAGAAACATAATAAAGAGAATTTTTTCATGAAAATTATTATCTTCAAAATCATAGTTTAAATTGTCTAAATTAATAAATATAAATATATTTTGATATTTTGACTTTAAATATATTTGATAAGATTATACTTATTATGCTTGTTTCTTTTAGTATTTTGTTAATTATTAAAATTACATGTCTTTTGGCTAGTTCTTGTATTAGATAATGTTTGAATAACAATTTTAGAGACATTGAAAGAAATATTACTAGTTCAATAAGTATTATTATTGTTGCTTTTAGGGGTAGTGTTGTCATTAGTATTACTTATTTTTATAATTCTAAATACAAAATAATAGTGGATATAAATATATTTTATAATTTTAATTAAATAAGAAATTAATAATAAAAAAACATTATTAAATTTTGAAAAAAAAAGTTTTGTATTTTATATCATCCAAAAGTATTAAATATATTCCAAAATCCTAGTAATTTCAACATTTTCTTTAATTAGAATAAATCTCTTATATTTGATAATTTCTTTTGCAAAGTAATAATTTCAACAATCAGGAAAATGTCAAGTTATAGTTATTATAATATAGAAATTTTGATAAAATTACTAATGAAAAATAATAAGCCTATTTTCTTTATAGCTCTTTTTAACTTATTATAAGTTTTTTTTATTAGAAAACAAATTATAAGAAATAATTAGTTTGTAACTATTTCAATAAAAAAAGGTAATAAAAAATTATATTATATAAATTAAAACAAGAATCAAGAATTAATATAAAAGTTTATAAAATATATAACAATTATTATTTTTTTGTTTTATATAGGCTGAAAAAATATCTTTATATCAAATATACTTTGTGATAAAAATAAGCATAAATAAAACTTGAAAGACAATAAAGAAGATTAATCGAAAAATTTTTATTAGTATATATATTAAAAAACTTATATTTTGGAAAGTTGAAATATTCGCAATTTTTAAAATTATTATATACTTATCAATTTATATAAGTTGTATAATTTATATACTATAAAAATGTACCAATCTACTTATGAAAAATAATTTATTTTTTTATCTTATATTATCTAATTTTACTTAAACAGATATATAAATCAATATAAATTAGAATTTTTATATTATTTATTAATATAAAACAATATTCTTATATAATTTCTCACTTGTATCTGAATTCTTTACATTAATGAAAAAAAATTGACTTGTATAATAACAAATGTAATAAAAAATTATAATATAAAGGAACATTTACAAAGGCAGAAAAATTTGAATCTCAAAAATTCTCATTTTAACATATTTTAAATAAAGAAAATTTTTAATTTTGATTTTCTTAAACTAATTAAAAAAACTTTTTTTTTTCTTTTTTTTTTTTAGTCTCTAACTAGATTGCAAATGAAAATATTTATTAATCCAATTTTTGAAGTACAATTTTATAAAACACCTGTCAATAAATTTAAATCTAAATTCTTTAGATATAACTATAGGGAATAATAATATTGCTCCTTTTCAAGACAAGGCATCAGAAGTCTATATCTTGAAAGATCATTGCCAGCTTATATTTAAACTGTTATCCCAATATGAATCTGTAATTCTAAGAGATAAAAATTTTTATTTTTTAAGAAATTAAAAGTTGGAAAAAAAAAAAGATTTGCATTGATAAAATAAAAACTCTTCTTAACTACTATTTAGTCTGATCAGCTGCAACTGGAAAACCATTTAATTTTCACTATTCCATTGTTGACCAAGAATATTTAAGGGTACTTTCAAAAAAGTATTTTTTGAAACTTTATATTTGAAGACTTCTAACCTTTAAAGAAGGTTGATATTTCAATTGGCGATTTTTCTTTTAATCAAATTTCCAAGGATTTATAGCTTTATTTAACTAATAGATAGTTTAAAAACCTCTTTCTCCAACCATTTTTGAAATAATCAACAGTAGAACTAGCTTATTACTGGATTGGAATAAGACCTTCTTTTAATCTTGAAAAGAAACAAAACCAGTTTAAAAGGGAAGAAGGAAAATACCAAACTACTTTCTTTGCCAAAAAGTATGTCTTATTATCTTGCTTTTTCTACCATCACCAATTACATTATCAGATATAAGTTATATGAAATGAAATATATAGGATTTATGTATCTTATTTATATTTCTTGCTATATGCAGATCAATTAATCCAAATTTTGAGCCAATCATTATTCAAGAATTTCAGTATAACCAAAAATTCAAGATCAAATTAAGATAGGCAAAATTCTTCAGAAAAATTAGAAAAAAGTATATATGCTTGAAAAAATGAAAAAAAAACTTAAAAAAGATAAAAAAAGAGTTTTAAAAGTCTATAATAATCTTCTCTAGAGTCTTGAATCTCTAGAGTAAAAGAGAATGATGTTTTTTCTACAGGTTCTTTTTTCTAACAAAGTGTTCTTGCCTTTAACTTTATAGATATATTTTTTTTGTATTTATTTGTAAAAATATAAAAAGTTTATGTCAAAGAGAGAAAGAAACAAGTAGAAAAAGACAAAAGTTTTTGAATGGTAATGTTATTAAAGAAAGTATATAGACTTTGTTATATAAAATATAAAATTTCAGTTTTTTGGGTTGGCAAGAAAATTAGTAGAAAGAGTTTTTAATTAAAAACTTTCTTAGTATTGATTTTATTTTGAATCCTATAACAAGATTTGCAAAATTTATCAAAAGTTTAGAACAAAAGTTAAGAAGTTTCTTGTTATATAAAATATTAAAAGGATTGAAGAATATGTTTTATAAATATAAAATCAATGGTAAAAAAATTATATGTATAAAACAATTCAATATAGATAATTAATACACAATTTTTATATAAAGTTAATTTCAATTCCTATTATTTATTAACTTTTTTTCTATAGTTTTTAAGGAAATTGATAATAATAAAAAAATATTTGAACAGTATAATACCAAAATTTTTTAGTTTAGAGATTATGCAAAATAGTATCAATGAAATAACCAATTGTGTTTTTATTACATCTGTTTTATATACATCAATAGCAATTACTTAAAAACTTATAAAAAATAAATATATATATATTGCATATCAAAATAACATATTCAAAAAAGATACTTTACTGAAATCTATCAAATTTTGACAATTTAGTCACATAATTGTTACTATTTTGTAATTGAATTATAGAGATTCAATCGTGATTTAATAGTTTTTACTATGTCATAACAAAATCTCAGTCATTTAGTGACAATTAAATTATTATTTCAATAATAACATTATTATTAACTCTTTTTAAAAAAATAATAAACAAATTATACTATATTGTAACAATTTTTGGTTACAAAATAGTAACGATATCATCACTATAATTATTAATAAAATATCATTATAGCGATATGATTTTGAGGTAACTTTAATTAAATTATGATAGAATTATTATAAAATAGTAACAATTTATTAATCAAGTGATAAAAAAATAGTGACAATATAGTGATCATTTATTTATTATGAAGTTACAACTATATATGTGGTGGAATTATATTTTTAATTTCCAAATTAATGTGATTTTTAATAATAATACAATATCTATATTCGAATTAAATAAGAAATCATAATTAATATGAAATCATAATTAATAAAAAACTATAATTGAAATCTTAATTGTAATCATAATTAATAATAAATTGTAATAGCAAGAAACTATAATTAATAAAAAAATATAACAATAAAAAATTATATTTAATTATATTTATTTTTAAAAAGTTCTATATATAACAAAAAATTTAAAAATTTGTAATTAGAAAAAAAATTTTACAATATTGTAGTTATATAATATTTTTATTTTATATATAACAGTAATTAAAAAAAAAATAGCATTATTTTATTATTTTTTAAAAAATTGTATTATAATAAAATTATTAAATAATATTTAATAAATAACCAACAATTAATAATTATATTAATAATTATATTTTTTTATAACATTATAATCATATAAATAATAATTATTGATAGTTTGTTATATATTACTTGGCAATTTTATACAATGTAATTTAAAAAATATTATTATTAAAATATTATATATATATTGTTGTGGTGAAATTACGGCGAGTCAGTCGCTTCGATCTGTCTCATGCCGTGTAACGATCGGGCGGTTTCTGCTCAAAAGAGGCATGTGAATTTGGCCAGAGTTCGTAACGCTGACGCAGATCAGTCCGTCGATCTT